TTTTTTTTTTTTTTTTTTTTTTTTTTTTTTTTTGTTTTTTTTTTAATTTTTCATTTATTCACTACACGACTAACTTTCCAAAATGCATACATATTGAGATTGAATTTGTGAATTCAGGTACGACCGTTGCAAAGAAACATAAAATTAATAAACTTTGAAAATACAACAAACGAAGTTAAACCGCTTTTTATACGCGTATACACTTCAAACAACTGTTTACAACTGTTCACTTACGGCGGAATTGAATAACTGAGCAGAGGCGAGTAAGGAGAGGCAATTATTTTTTTTTTTTTTTTTTTTTTTTTTTAAGATATGAACATGTATCCCTGTCTTTACATAAAATTATTCATTTCACGTTGATCTCTTTTTTTACACGTTTGAAAAGCATTTCAAATTTAACAAAAATTTTAAAAGAATATAATGTGAGAACGCAACCTAACGAGAAAGTACAAAAAACAAACAAATTTACAAAATTCGTAACTCTATATACCCTACACCATTTGTGGTATAGGGTCTACTGCGGTCGTATGTAAGACGCAGAAGGGCTTAAGATAGGCTCATCTTTTATTATACCGATCGATTCAGAGTCATAATCTGAATTGATCGAAGCCTATCTATCCGTCTCTCCGTCTGATGTCTGTCCATATAAATTTGTGTTTAAGGTAGATGTCGTAATTTTTGAGATATTCTTATGAAATTTGGTAAAGTGATGTGTTTTCACCCAAGGACGAACGCTACTGAAAATGTTCCGGATCGGTTCACTTCTTCGGCCAATACCCATATAACGCCCTATTCTGAAAAGTCGTTATACGGCAAAAGATTATAATTCCCAAAAATTCCTTTGCATGTTGATGGGTAAGCGAACCCAAAATCCAACCTAATATAATACAAGTTTAAATCTCACATAGCGCAGCATCCCAATAATGACATAAATGGTCCAAATTTTGCAAACTTAATCTTTGGCTCTCCTAAGCGTGATTTTCTTATTGACTCATGTCCTGAATCATACAAGCATAACTTGTGCATTTCCCCGGCGCGACTGGAAAACAACGATTAGGAAGAATACTGCATTTTGTTTCTTCCTGCTCTCCCGAAAGTCTTTGAACACTTCGAAACGAATCAAATTGCATTGTACATGAAATTTAAGAATTCATTTCGCGACAGTCACAATTTTAGCCCGTCCCTGGACCTCCGGCATATATCCGAAGGATTCAAATTCGATGCCTGACACTGTAATAACCAAATCAACAATCGAAAATTCGCAGTGTTGTACAAAAAAAAAAAAAAAAATTCAACGGGACCACTAAGCACTTTACTTGAACCTTAATAAAGTTGATAGATGACTTGAATGCAGATGTGCATCGTACTAATACAATGGATTTCGGAGCACTGTAAAGCAAGGCATGATGCTGCTTTAATAAACTTTTTTTATGCTCTTGCCAATCACAACGATATATAAATATAATTTTTTTTTTTTTTTTTTTTTCTAGAATTAAATATTATCACAAATGCCTTCGATAAGTGAATTTTGCATTGTATGCCTCTGTCTGTCTTTCATATCCGAAATCACGGCTACAATATCAGAAATCTACTACAGGAGCAATAAATTGAGTCTTAAAATTAAGGTCTTTACTACCGTCAGGGTGCATTGCGAAAGGATACTTATATAAAAAAAACTCCGTGTTTGTACAATTATAACATTTTGGAATTAAATTCCACTCTCACGCTATGGCATATGTTATAGTATGCGAATTTTTTTGTATTGAAAATAGATAACTTGTCGCTATGTATGTTAAATGCTGGCATGTATTTGATCATTGTCTGTTCGTAAGGTTCTAAATTCATTTCATTTTAGCACTATTTACACAGCTATGCGGATTTGTAGTAACTGTTTATATAAAATTCTTTCAGTTGCCACTATACTGCGAAGACTTAGCCTGTCAAACTTTCTAAATTTTATAAAATGTTATTATCAAAGCATTTGATTGACTCCTAACTGTAAATTTTCAAAAGCAATTTCTATAAAAATTTCTCTCTAATAATAAGCACCAACAACACTAAACAATAACATAACCAATAAATTATTTATTTCAGACTCCTATTCCTAATTTAAAACATAATAAAAATTTAATTAAAACGCTATTCAAGAAACAAAGGGTGCAAAAGTATGTGAACAACGTATTTTATTACGTGTTTTTTGTTTTTACTTTTGATGATTTTATGAAGTCATTCGTCGTTTTGATAAGCGAAACATTCTTTCGTTTTAATTATTGCATTCTACTATTAAAAGTTTTTCAATTTCTTTTTGATCCTATCGTTGGGCATACTGAATGCATATATTTAGGCATATATGCATCATTCTTCCCCATGCTATCCCTATGTACTCCCTACCCTCGCCTAAGGACTTTACGAACTCAATAATTACAGTGTTTTAAGAGCAGAGATAAACAATATTTTGTTCAAAATTCATTTCCGGCCTACATTCCGGCAGACATTTTGTTAACAGCAAATTGAAGCACTTTTCACTCATTTCTACTAATGGATGCAAAACGGCCACGTCTACTACTACTACTACTACTACTACTACTACTACTACTACTACTCTCTAAAGAGTGAATCCGTTTTATCTGCCTTGCAATTATGCTAAGATCATTCAAATCTCCTTAAAATTGCATCTTTACTATACAATCACGTGGGCGTGGGGTGTCTTCAAACAATGAATGGGCTAGGCAAGCGCAATGATATGCACCTAATGTTCGTGCGTAGCTATTGGGGTGTTGAGGGCATCAAAAGAGGGGACGGTCTGGCCAACAGGAGAGCCCGAGGAACCATGATAGGTTCTGAAGCTTTCTTTCTGTGGCTTTCCAAAACATCATATTAAAAGGATGATTTCGCAATGGGTACAGAAAAAATCAGATTGCCATTGAAAGCAATGTGCCGGACAACGGCAGGCAAAAAGATTCAAAACACCTCCGGTAAGGCATATAAACTGTTGGAACTAAGAAGAACCAAACTACGTTTAGTTATGGGCTTCTACATGGATCATAATTCCCTTGGGTATGATCTGAAAAAACATGGGTATATCCGACACCGATTCATGCAGATTCTGCTAATGAACAAGTGCGACGTCCCGTCATATTCTATGTGAATGTGCGACAGAAGATAAAATGATTGTATATATAAAATCAATAAGTAGCTCCCCATACTACGATGCATGCTTGTCCATTTTTCTGTAAATAAGTATCACATGTTGAACGTGTAAAGCTTATCACTGATGATCACCATTTAATTCAGCAAAATCCAACCGTTCATTTCAGTTGTAATACTTCTTTGGAGTACGCAAAGAAGATGTTGTTATCTGATCAGCAATAATGGGCCATTAATCAAATCGAATTTCTTTACATAAGTAAAGCACAAATACGATAATTGCGATTGAACAGTTGGACACGTAGCTACATTGCCTGGCTAAAGTAAATTTTAAAAGAACAGTGAAAGCGTGATTTTTTAAAAATAAAAAACACTTTTAATCACACATTAGTTCATAACTGTATATATATATAAAATTAATCAGTAATCTTTAGTATCATCGTCCTTCCACGTTTATATGAACATATTTGAAAGAAAGAAAATGTATAGGGGCGATCTAATTATTTAGTATATGATAATATTTAGAAAATGATACTCCCAAATGCCAAAGGATGTTCCAAAGTGAACGGCAATCTAGAGAGTAAATTATGGAAGCAAAACTCAGCACTGCTTTGCCATTTTAACACAGCTTCTTACACTGCCTTGCCGCTTTAACAGAGTTTCTGCCACTGCTTTGCCGATTTAACAGAGTTTCTTATCCTAGAGACCACAGTAAAAAATTAAGTTTCACATACGTTGGTTACCTTGTTATTCAATACACAAAGCAAAGTAAACACGAAATTTGAACTGAAAAAAAAAAAACAGAAAACAGTTTAGTTAGCGGTTTTTGTTGTGAAAAATTTCAATTTCAGTTTTTTGAATAAGAAAAAGAAAATTTTAAAAATAAATCGTTGAATCTACCGACGAATTTGCTAAATTACAAAAGAAAAAGAAAGTAAACACGATGGAATCGAAACAAAACTAATTTCAATGAAACTGAAGGGAAACTGGCGCATTTCAGATAATTGGGAAATTTTCAACTTTTTTGAGAAAAAAAGCCATCATTTTCGAGATTTAGTCTATGAAGTACAGGGAATTATTTAAAATGAAAGTGAGATTAACAAAATTGGTATTTGTAAGATATATTTTTGCCCCTTTAAGTAAAAAATGATCTTATTTTACGCTGTCGGTTTCGAAACTAAGGAAGCAAACAAAATGCACAGCTGCTTCAAAGAGCATTAACATGAATTAGTCGCAGAGCGTATAGGAAAACTAAAAGCCAGATTAATGATAAATTTTGTATATAGCTTATGCGGTTATTTGCGATAAAATTTAAATGCATGACTCCATTTTAAGTCCACAATTAGTAAAGAGTTGTACGCTTGGGCTTATTAAAAAGAAAACACAAAGAACCGTAGAAAGAAGATGAAAAGATATGGAATTAATAATAAAAACAAGTTTATTTAACAAAATAATTCTGAAGAATGTGTGTTCGTTTAAAATCAAGACTTCTGCGTTCCTAAGTGAAGTATATAGTTAAATAGCTATTGTTGCTGTTTTTTTTTTTTAACAAAAATATATTAGTTTGTAAAACACATACGAAAGGAATTATTTTTCTGTCTCCACCTATAATTGACTGAAAGCACTTTCTTCTCAATAAAATATAAACTATATCGCAAGTGCAACCAGTTCGTAATTTAATATATATAATAAAATATTAGTTTATAAAAAAGCACAAATCATGTACGAAAAACAATAGGTTGGCATCACTGTCCTCAATACTTGTCTTGTCTTCTCGTGTTTACGTGGACGGGGCTTCTTCGTCTTTTCCTTTTTTTTTGTAGATCTTTTTTTAAAGAATATATTTAATAAAACTATAAAAAATTAAAGTGAGAACACATAAATAGTTTCAATATATTTTTCTTATAACTGTAGACGGAATAGAAAACACATCCACAAATATATTCGTTTAACCCAGAAAAAAGTCAGCATAAAAAACATACACATACCTATCTATAATAAAAGAGTAGAACAGAGACCTAAAAACAATTAAAATGAATATTCCGAATGAATATATTGCGAAAACTGAAGACGTTGCCGATCAGGTAGGTAATTCCAAAAAGTGAATATTTACATAAAAATTTTAAAACCAACATAGGTTTAGTTTATTAATAATATAATATTCAATAGAAAAATTTAGCTTCGACCAATCATTATCCTCATTATGCGGCGAAAGTGTGTCTAAGAAGTGAAAAAGATAGCTAGCAAATTTTCTCTTTTTCCTTATTTTAAGAGAAAGTTGTTCGCCGGGAAGGGCATAGTGGGGCGAAGATCTCAACTAACAGCTTGTGAAAATTTTTGTCAACGTGTTAAACGGGCTCAGCTATCTCTTATTTAAGTTTATTCTTTACTTTAATTAAGCTATTGCTACACATCGCCGTTTACGATCTTAGCAAAGTGATTATGAATTATTTTTCACATACGTTACATGCAATAGAATGTAAATTCCTTAGCAAGGAGAATACATTCTCTTGCATGTTTTTAAGAAATACGCTACCTATTATTCAAAGACTTTACTGTTGCCTGATGTCAAAGCCGATATATGGCGAAAATGTTTGCGAATGTAGACTACGGTAACGTAGAAAGTCGGCTAAGATATGTTCAAAATATATATGATACTCTATAAGGGATTTTGAGCGTCAGCCTAGAATGACTAGAAAACCGATATGCCGGCTTCTAGCCTGTGAGAAATGTAATTTTTGGAATCGTTATATATGTATATATATGAGCAAAGAGTACGTACGATTGCCTAAATACGCCATTCTTTTGAGGCTTCTAGCTTTATGATTGATTATTTTCTCTTAATACCAATTCCTTTTCTCTCATAAACATGTTAGTGACAGAAAGAGGTGAAGATTGAACGAAAGCAATCAGTAGCTTCGAATGACGTTTAGACTATCAATTTTCTTGTTATCGTTTGCTTACACTAACTGAATATATAGCAGACACCGAAACAACTAGTAGTTTCGAATCAATGAGCGAATGAATTCAATATCTTTTTCGCAAAAAAAAAAAAACAAAAAATAATAATTTCTATCACTATCATTAGGTCCTTGCGACTGTATATTCGTAAGTATATAATTGGTAGTTGTTAAATTTGGCCGCTATTGCTATTTACCAAATGATCATGTTCTGCTCTTGACACTTGCAATGTTAATAATTCTTTCTTATAGGTAATTCGGCGAGGCAAAAACATATTGCCAACAGTTGCACGCTTATGCCTGATAGCCACTTTTTTTGAGGATGGCTTACGTATGTACTTTCAGTGGAATGAACAGCGAGAATATATGGATATGAGCTGGGGCTGTGGTAAATTTTTGGCAACAATATTTGTTCTAGTAAATTTAATCGGGCAACTGGGAGGCTGTGCAATGGTCATTGCTAGGTATAAGGTTGACATAGCTGTTGGGATTTTGTTCTTCATTGTTGTACTACAGGTGAATAATGAAACAGGTGTAAATATTAATTAAAATTAATTTTTGCTCAATAATTTAGACAATTGCTTATTCAATATTGTGGGATATACAATTTCTTTTACGCAATCTGGCCTTAATTGGTGCTCTGCTGCTTGTATTGGCCGAATCTAGAGTTGAAGGACGCAGTCTTTTTGCGGGAGTACCTTCACTGGGCGATAATAAACCCAAAAATGTTATGCAGCTAGCCGGACGTATTTTACTTGCATTTATGTTTATAACATTGATTCGTTTCGAATTGAGCTTCCTACAAGTAAAAACTTTTCTTTATTGATGTAAAGCTTAAAAAATATTTCTAATCCCCTTTCTTTCTCTTTATTTTTCTTTAACATTTTAGATTCTTCAAGATATCCTTGGTTCAATTTTAATGGTATTAGTTACGATTGGTTACAAAACTAAATTATCTGCCCTTATACTCGTTGCTCTTTTGACTATTTTAAATTTATACCATAATGCGTGGTGGACTATTCCTGCTTATAAGCCGCTTAGAGATTTTCTGAAATACGATTTCTTCCAGGTAATATATTAATTAAATTTCTTTTCAAAATATAAATTAAATTACAAAAATATAAAACTTGGACTTCTTTTAGACTCTTTCTGTTATTGGTGGGCTGCTAATGATAGTATCATTGGGCCCCGGCGGAGTATCCATGGATGAGCATAAGAAAAAATGGTAGATATTGAATTGTTAACTAATTAAGACGTTTCATTTTCGACTCCATGCGTAAGCACAGCCACAAAAACCACTCCAATTTTTTTTATTTTGTAATATTTTTGTTTCGTGTCGACTTAAATTTAGTAGAAAAAGAAAGAAAAAAATAAAAAGAATAATTTTTTTATAAAAAACAAGAATATATTAAAAAAAAAAGAGAAAAACAACATGTAAAAAATGGTAAAATAATTTTTACAAAGAAATAATAAAAATAGCAAAACCCGTAACCACAAAACACAACATCTTGTAAAATGATAATTTAATTCAAATTCGCCGTAAACGCCACGTCGGTCAGGTATATAAAGTATTTCCCCTCGTCGACTGCTCTGCAAGCTATGCGGCGCTAGGCGACTTTTTACGAACACAATATGTCTAATATGCCATAAGTTGTGCGCAGATATCCCGCTTCTGCGAAAAACAGCTTATAGCAATGCGCTTGTGTACAACGGCAGTATTCTCTTCACCCCTTCCATTACTATACCATTGAGCACAATAGAAGCCTGCTCACAATAGAAGCCTGCTCACCGAAAAAATATATCATCCTATTTTATAAATCGTAATGTCTACCCATTTCGCCAGGTTCATCATTGTCTTCATCTTTCAAAATATACTTGATGGGTTTCTAATGCAGGACTTGAGAGCTATTTAATTTTGGCAAAGTGGCTTAACTCAATCAGCGTTTCTTGACCTGTTTCTTTTCCCAATTCTGCAATATCCAAATACATTAGATAATACGCGATGTATGTTTCCATAGGATAACCATCTGAATGATCTCAACATTTTTTTTTTATTATTTTTTAATGAATAATTAACCATCTACTGTTGTAATAATGATTATTAGTAATGTATTTATTCTAAAGAAGTAAATTCTTGGATCAAAATTGGACGAGTACTAGAAGCTCTAACTATCGGCTCTATTTACGTAAAAAGAAAATAAAAAAAAACTATCGACGTTGTTTTGTTGTTCTACAGACACTTTTGAGACATTCGTAGAATTTAGTCGTTTCGAATGCGAATATTCGAATTGGGCAACCGCTCTAGCAGCCCAAAAAGGCGTTCCTTCAATTGTAACATTTTTTCCGATACAGACTGCAAGAGTAGTCCTTTTAGTGTTTGCTGACATATTGCAATTGTTTTACGAAGACAAGATTTTATTGATATCCGAAAATCTTACAAATATTAATTTTATGTATATATGTATATGTGTATGTATACGTCCAACATCAACCTTCTACACGGTTGTTTTCTTAAAAAAAAAATTTTTGAACCGATTAATTTTAACCTCACTCTCTAACACTTTTGCCGTTAAAACATCTTTGGACCCTATCTTCTTGTCTGTCACTCACATTTTCGTTACTAGCGGATCTCCAGTATGTATTGAATGTTTACGAATGATTTTTATTTTAAATTATTAGTTCGTTTACTTTCTTTTCAAATTCTCAGTTAACTAAACGTTTTGAAACGACATTGGACTCTTCTCGGCTTAAAATGTAACAGAAGTGCAAGGAATGAAGGGACATTTTACGGGCATACGTTAAGCACCCATCTTAGATACCGAACGTTTTTTTTTAATTTTGTAAAAACTTTTTTTTTTTATAGCCTACACAAATTGTAATTCAAGAGAATGTAAAGTTTTTACGGATGTATGCAACACCTAGAAGGACAAAGGGGATAGACCCACCTTTCATTATTATATCGATCAATCCAGAAAGCCATTGAGAAAGTGATTGTGAATTAATCTAAGCTTGTCTGTCCGTTTTGTTTGCTTGTGTTCAATCTGCAGGTCGCAAATTTTTAATATATTTTGATGAAATTTAATATACTAACCTGTTTGGACCAATGACCAACGCAATCATTAAATGGTTAAGATCGGACCACTTTTTCAGCCTTGTCAAGACAGGTCGTTATATGAATATCTGTAGGCTTTAATGGTGAGCAGCAGCCCACTGTAGTATCTTTACCTGTTCAATTTAGTTTGTATTTGAAGATAAACAGGAAAATTTAGGAACATAGGGTTGATATTTTTAATAGCATATATAAAATGTGGAAATATTAATGTACCCATTTAAGCAAGTTGGGTTAATGTTATTGGACATTACTTTCTCATGCGTCTTAAGCGGCCGTCAAATTGTTGAATAAGAATTGAGTAGATGTGGTGTGATAATCGACCCACACTCAATGATTTTTATTTGTAAACTTTAATAATAGGTCAAATGAAAAGGTAATTCAAACAGTTAAAAAAGTCGCAACGTGTCTTGAAGTGCAGGAGCTTAGTCCAAAGGACAATATCTCAAATTGTCTTCTAGTTACAAATTTAGATATTTTATGTCCTTCAGTGGATTTCTTCAGTAATAATATTTTCCAGATGTATCGTAGAGGCCTATGTTGTCGTGTTCATGTTCGTTTGATCAAAAAGCTTATTATTGTGCATAGGTGATGGAAAATAATTTTTTGACGAGTATTCTGATTACGATTAATTGTTTACCTTTTTATTATAATTTTCTGACCAAGAACATTTTTTCTCCTTAAATTTTATATTGGATTTTATTATTGCAGTGTGGTTGGTTTTCTATCGAGTAATACAATAATAGCAACTTATTAAAACTTTTTCGTATTAGAAAATCGCAAAAAACTTGCTGTCCGAAGTTTAAAGACTTCAATTAATTTAATCCAGGGCAGCAGCACCGGAAATGATTTCAATCAATTCACGTGTAATGACAGCTTGTCTGGTACGGTTGAATGTCAGCGTCAATTTCTCAATCATTTCACCGGCATTCTTAGATGCGTTGTCCATGGCAGTCATACGGGAAGATTGCTCGGAACAAGCGCCCTCTTTCATGGTATAGAATATGAGCGAAGCCAATGAGAACTCCAAGTAACTTTTAATCACTTCGGAATCTAGTGAATCGTAAAGTACTAACTTGTCAGATTTCTCAACCGTTGGAGCACCATAGATGGGCAAAGAAGTGCACTGATAAGAGACTACAGATTTAAACCGATTATAAACAATCTGTCCTTCGGTATAGTCATAACCGCATTTTAGCACTTCATGGGCAATACGTGAAGCATCCAAAAAGGTAGGAGGCAAACGACCGACCTCATTAGCTACCATTAAAATATTTTTGCCATAAAGTCGTGCCAAAATGGAACGCGACTTGTCGCCCACGCAGAAAACCTTGGTATTTGTTTCGTCTTTACCCAGTTCGCCGCGGATGAAACGAGCCACACCAGTGTGCACAGCACCGCATAAGCCACGGTCCGAAGTTATTCCAATTAAGAGTTTTTTTGGTTCTTCTTTCTCATCAGCCTTAATATCGGTCTTCTCAAAGAATTGCTGAGCTCCCACTCCATAAGGACGAGCAGCTTTCAATTCACGTTCAGCACGTGAATATTTGGCAGCTGATACCATTTTCATGGATTGCGTAATTTTTTGAATATTTTTAACTGATTTAAGTCGAATGGAGATCGCCTTCAATGTGGCCATACCCCGTTGTTGTTGGATTTGTAAAGTGGCTTCAACAGCCATTGGAGCAAGAAAGGCTGTAACTCGTTGCATCATCATGCTGCTAAATGATTTAATTGTTCCGGGCAATTGGCTATAAATGGAATAACATGAACTTTAATTTTTTCGCTAAATTAAATTTTTCGATTATGCAAAAGCCAATATGAAAAATTTACCAGTTTTTTACGAAACGACTGAAGAGACCAAATTCCTCTTATGTAAGTGAACACAGTATTGCCAACACATATTTATATTAACTTTGATAAAGGAAAGACAATAAGAAGAGAGAAAGAGAGAAGTGATGCTATTGCTCTGAATACAAATCTAAGTTAATTTGCGCAAAGTTACGAAAAATAATATTTCTAGATTAACAATTGTTTTTTTTTTTGCTACGATTTATTTTAAAATTCATCTATCAGTGACTTCAGATATATAAATAATACATAATAATAGTATATATATATAAAATATAATTAAAAATATAATATATAAAATGCAAAATTTAAAATCAAATGAACAATAATTAAATGCGTTAAATAAATTGCGTTAAGCGATATTCTGTCAGTACATTGTTAATTTATTCGAAAACGATGACCGATCCAATATAAGCTTTTTAACAATTCACCTCGAAAATACGCTCAAATAAGCGATCAACACTTCGTTGCGAAGTTCGGCGACGAAATGATTTCACTTTCGAAAGTTAAACAACTCTCACAACAAATATGTAACAAGAACTAGGTTCAACAATTCCCAACTGTTTTCGAAAACTTAGCAGCATAACGTAATAGCTGAATACAGATACCATTTTGTTTGTAATATGTTCTTATTGAACATCCTACACTATAAATTTTACGGCATCCGAACAACTTTTCAGCAAAAATGCAACATTTTCATAGTGCACAATTATTTTAGTACATTCCTATCAGAAATAGTTATATGACAAAATTGGAGAACGATTGTTATCATTGGCAACATCATTACTGTTTATTTTTAATTAGTTCGCGAGACCATCAAATTTTATTTGCGATAATTCATAAATTCAAGCGATGGGCAGTCCTCAAGATGAATTATGTCCTCCGCCAACGGAAGATGATGAATTGACATTACCTCGGGCAAGCATTAACAAAATAATAAAGGAACTTGTACCATCGGTTAGAGTAGCAAATGAAAGTCGAGAGTTGTTGCTTAATTGTTGTTCGGAATTTATACATTTAATCAGCTCGGAAGCCAACGAGGTTTGCAACATGCGTAACAAAAAGACAATAAACGCTGAGCATGTTCTAGAAGCTTTGGATCGACTAGGTTTTCGTGACTATAAACAAGAAGCTGAAGCCGTTTTAAATGATTGCAAAGAAGTGGCAGCGAAACGTCGACGGCAAAGTACCCGTCTGGAGAATTTAGGTATCCCGGAAGAGGAACTACTACGCCAACAGCAAGAATTGTTTGCTAAAGCGCGTGAAGAGCAAGCCAGAGAAGAGCAACAGCAATGGATGAATATACAAGCAAGCGCCGTACAACAGAACGCTGAACTGCTACAAAAACAAATGAAACAAGCTGTAGAAGACGATGATGATGATGATGATGATTATTAAGTGTCTTGACTAAGGAACTAAAGATTAACCTTCTTATTTATTAAAAAAAAACGAAATTATGGAAAGTTGATGTGAACCAGACAATCCATTATATATAATGCCGAAAATTCATAACATCCTCCAAAGAAGCACTGCGTCTATTAATAATAGTTAACTACACTAGCTAATTGTATGAATAAGATATAAAATGTAGATCCGAACACTTTTTCAATACCGAAAGTTTATCCGTACTGACGATTTTATATATATGTATATGCATACACAACTTAAAGTGAATGTGTTTCAATCGTTTGATTTACAGTTTCAAAAGTTTTAATAATGGTTCATGTCAGTCCTTAAAATTAAGTTAGTATGTAATTACTTTTTTATTGAATAAATATTCTTTTATACACAAAAATGAGATGAAGTTAAGGAACGGTATTTTATTTATTGACATCATTTATTTAATTTTACTTGGTTTGCACTTCCCCAAAACAGGGTAATCGCATTTCTGAGTAATCTCATATATTTTTCCACTCTTATATATGTTCAATATGTGAACTCTTAAGCACTAAGTGCGGGCGGAATCCATACAATAAGTAAAGCTTATATTATAATCCTGAAAATATCGTTCCCGATTCGTATCCTTTATTAATGTCAGAAAAGGCAGTAATACGATGTAATCAAGCTTACTTACTCTTAACTATATAGAATGAACGTGAGGAATGCCTTGAGATTATTTTCGCTACTTTGTAAAGGCGCGGTTGTGATTTCTCAACACTCAAATTCTTCAGGACGTTTTGTCCCTGGAATTTATTTGATTTTTACTTCAGACTTAGGAATAAACGTAACACATATTATGGGGGAACCGTGCCCAAAAAGGAGAAGGAATTTTGGAAGGAATTCTTATCATAAATCATTATTTTATTATTATTATTATTATTATTTTAATTTTAGACTAATGAATTGAATTCTTAGACTAAAAAAAACACATTGAGCACTAGCAACATTCATCATTATTTTAAATTATTCTAATGAAACTTTTTCTACATGTCTTATGAATGATTCTGAAACGACGTCATCGTCTGTTTGCGTATACAATCCAGGCGAATATTTATGAGCTAGCAATTCACTGTGCTTTTTCCAAAATATGTCGCTTATCATGTCTTCATGCAAGGGCACAATTAACTGTTTGGAGATGTCATGTTTTGTGCGATTTACTTGTTTCCTTAGCAAAATTGTGCCTTTCCTGAACATGCCTGGCAAATTATTGTAGTTAATACCAAATTCCGAAAATAATAACTCATTTTTGTAGGCAGCATATGTTCCCCTTAGCTTTGCTTCAGCCTCCTTATTTGTAAGACCTTTTTTTTGCACTAAATTCCAAAAAGCCGTATTATATAAATTATTTATATGGACATCAGCTTGCCGCCAACTTAAGTAATCGCGGAGATTTTGATCAGAAGGGTATAGGACTACACGACCATCAAAAGAAGGTGGATACGTTAACTTTTTGTTCCCCATCCATTGCGGCCAATACATTACATAGCACGACGTGAATAAACTTGTCACATAAGACAATAATTTAGAGGAGCGCCTATTGTATACGTTAGTCTCTTTGCGAAAAACAAAAGAGTATTCATCACTTTGGCCGTAGCTTAAAATTATATCATTAAATTTCTCCATAACTGTTTGCGCCGCATTTGTCATAAGGTTAAGAGCTGTAACGGATTAAATTAATTTAGATTTTTGTTTAAATCAAACTATTCATTCTTGCCTCTTTCATCATTTGGTTTTTCAAAATCATGCTCCTTAGAGAATTTATGGAAGCCTTTACCATCTACTCTAATTATAATCCAAACATTAGGCAAAAGAACATCTTTCACTTCATAGTTTTTCACATATTCATAACGACTACAAGCCATTGCCCCCACTGTCCTAATATTTCGCAATTGAAATGAAATAGGTTTTATAATTGGTAAAAATTTTAATGCTAGCTTCATTTACAAAAGACGATAATAACAATTTTAAGCAAGAAAAGAAAATGTATGCAAAATAATGCGTAAATTATTCATGCTGCGTTAGTTTAAGCGTTTAGACCAAGGAATGTGTTTACATCGTCCATTATGCAAAATATATTTTTATATGATTTTTACTCCAGCGTGGTAATGTAAACATATGTTTAATTGCATGCAAACATGAGGATCAAATTTCATTTTTACATTCAGAGTATGATGCGTGATGCACAACGCAAACGCATTCATTGCGCTTAGGACTTACCACAATTGTGTACAATTTTTAATTCAATTTCAAAGTTTTGTTATTAGTTGTTTTTTCTTTTTTATTTTTAAACTTATTTAGTGATCCTGGTAAGTATTAAAATCTAAAACAAAAAAAAAATTAATAGAGTTTCAAAACATAAATATGTAATCGCTATCTTGTTTTGCTTCTTTATCGTGTCAATTTTTTTATGCTTTATGCTTGCATAGCCTATTACGAGCAATAAAATTATTTACGCTTCCGTGATTGTAATTTTCGTGCTGCACGCGGTCCACACTTGAAATCATTGGATGAAAAGAGAAATTCGGATCAATTTATTTTAATTCTTATTCTTCTTCAAAGGTGTTTAGCAAATCAGGGAGAATAAACGATTCGCCGCGCTATAATAGTAAAGGCTTGGTACGACGAGGAAGTATTACGCCTGAGCATTAATGAGGTTAGAGTCAACTACGTTCAGGTTTCAACGCCTTTTTAAGCATGGGAATTAAACTCATACTCCTTATATATCAAATTTAATTCTCTTTTCTTCCTTTTCTTCTGCAAGTCAGCAAATCAACAACAGATACTTCAGACCTTTTGATATAATAAAACCTTAAACCTCGTGCTTAAAAAAGCAAACACACTTTATTGTATTTAGGCCCTCAGCAATTGGAGTCATTATTTATTAGTAATCGACTTTTTTTATTGTTAATTTATTAATCTAATATGCTATTGCCTTTTTACTGTTCGTTCGTACATACGCCACGCCTTTTTTTATTTCGCAGTTTCGGCAGAATACAATAAATATATAGCAGCAAACAAATATGTATATGAAAAACAACGACAAAGTAATTTATGAAAAAGAAAATAAACTTTTCGATTAATTAGTGAAATAAGTAACTAGGAAAAACGAATTTGGAACAGAGGGTATGGAGATGGATTTCCCTTACGCAATCAAATAAAGCGACGAACCAATTTTCAACTGAAAATAAGTCGCCTATATTACTTGCGCTTCAATTCTTATTAAATAATACGATAACAAGTAGAAACCAAAAGTTCAAATCATATCACATAAAAGGGGTTTAAATTAGATAAATTCCTTTAAATTTAAGAGAAGTCATTTTTTTCGTTTTTTTTTTTTTATTGTACTCGTTTATATATGCACACAACTACTTGTTTTGAAAATTTGTTAAAGCGTCTAAAAAATTCGATTTCCCATCTCGAAAAAAAGCAATTGTACTTCATTGTGTCTGACACTATTTTTCATCGATATAACTATCAATTTCCTTTATCTTGTAAGTAAAAAAAACGCAGAAGCTGAACAAGAAGAAGAGGTTCTTTTCTGTGTTTCTACTAGTTGGCAGTAAAGAACTGTTGCCATTTCCTATTAATTTAACTTTGTGTTAATGTTCTAAACACGTGCTAATAGTGAATACACAACGTTTAAAATATTCATATAATTTTCTTTCAAAAAAATAAAAGTTAACCGTAAGATGATCGGAGTGACGAAAAGGAATTTGGTTCAGCATGGCGAAAAAGAGCAAAAGCAGCAAAAGCCAGATGAAATTTCCAAAGAAATATTGGTGATAGCTCAAGAAGTAAAAATTGTTAAATCGTTGGCTTGCAATGATCTACGCAGGCGAAATAAACAAATGCGTAAGTTGCGTAAATGGTTACAAATAAGAGCACAAAGCTCTTTTCCATTTACTGAAGAAGATTTTATGCGCATTTGGAAAGGCCTGTATTATAACATGTGGTATTCGGATAAACCTTTAGTCCAAGAGGATTTAGCGGAACAATTGGGCCAATTGATAGGTTGCTTTGATGATAACATCGAATTAAGCATCAAATTTTTTGGAGCCTTCTTAAAGATTATGGAAGTTGAATGGTTTGGTATTGATCAATGGCGTATGGATAAATTTCTTATGCTGGTTCGCCGTATGCTGCGTCATATGCTTAAAGCTTTAAAAAAACATTATTGGTCTTTAGAAACTGTAGAGAAATTTGATCAATGCGTTAAGAGCAGTGTTCTTCGCGAAAATGTAACTGCTAGAGGTCTAACAATGCACTATTTAGATATATTTTTCGAGGAGTTAGCTAAAGTATCGAATGGCGAGATATCAGCTGAACAAGTGAATTATTTCATCAAACCATTTGTACATTTTATGGCCACGCAGCAGAACTATCATCTAATATCTTGTTGCCGCTCAAGAATTTTCTACCATTTGCTTTATCAAAGTTCCCTGGGACGAGAATATTCGGAAAAGTACAACGCCTGGAAAGAAATGGGCTTTCCAACATCAAGAATCGACGATTTGGAGAAAGTCGAAGAAGCCGAAACATATGACATGGATATAGAAAATGATAAAACAGAACCGGAAGTTTGCAAACAACATCTTGACCCGCGCGCCGGTAATGTCGACGTTTTCATACCAGAGTTGCATTTAAATGGCGCGTATGTAGTCGCAGAATTAGAAACTTTTCTCAGTGGACACGATTTATCAACGAAAAGGCGTAAGATTTTAAAACGTCTGTTAGCTATATTTCAAACTTATCACAACGGAATCTTTCCTTTGGGAGTGAAAAGCGTGCAACGATTGCAGAAAACGTCGAATAAGTCTTTGATCAAAGAAAAAGTCGCGCAACTTGAACATTTAGAAAACGAATTATATGGAGTAGATAGGAAATTAAAGCAACTCAATAAGCGAAAAAGACGCAAACTTTTAAAATCTCTTAATTTCGAAAACATTGATGAAAACAATTACGACGAAACCATCGAGGGGGCTTTACCATTGGATTACCTATCAAACCGAAAGAACCGCTCGCAAAAAGCAATGATGAGTGGATGGCTGGAAGAGCCTTTAAGTGCAGAAGATTTCGTTGAAAAAAAGGTCAAGAAAAATGCAAAAAAGTTTAATAAATTCATTGAAATGAAAAAAAAAAAGTTAAAAATTAAACATAATATCAACAAGGAAAATCTGTTTAACGCTGACGACCAAAATTCACTTGAATTGAACGGGCGAAAATTAGAAAGCCATGCAAACAAAATTAATAAGAAACGCAAGCAATTGGAAAGCGAAAAAAAGGCGGTTATTAATCTAAAGGAGAAAATAGAAATACACCATGAAAATGACGGAGAACAGGGAGGCAAACAAGAAGTACCAGCAAGTAGTGAAGTCTCAGTTGGTGAAACCAATGCAAATTGTTCTTCATCATCAAGCAGTAAACCTCGTCCATTTCCAACCATAGAATCGGAGACTCCTACAATGGAAAAGAAAATTGAAACTCCGATAGTAGACCGCAAAACTAAATTGGAAGAAGTCTGCTCTAATTTGGTTCTAAATCCTTTGGCTAAAAAACCATCCAACAATTATTCAACACCAATAAATCAGAGAAAACGTTCAGCTTCTATAAGCAATAGTCCGAAAACGCGTAGCAGCGTGAAGCGTGTTAGAATAGATTTAAATCACAACACTTCGCAGAAGCCCCATGAATACATTCAGCAAATAAAACAGTCGCCAAATGTACCCTATGACGCAACTAAAAAACCAAGCAAAGGCTTGTTAAAACCCAACTCAACCCCCAGTCCAATTAATCCGTTTTACAAAAAGAAAATCGGATTAAGTTTATTTAATGACACCATTTGATATTGTAGCGAAATATTACCAAAGTTTAAACTGTGGTAATATTTCATTTACATACAAGAAGGAGCTAAGTATTTATGTTATTTTCACTAACTAATTGTAAAGAATTCAATAAAATATGCAAAACTTTAATTAACGAAGTTTTATAGTTTGTGTTATTTTGGTTTAACATTTTCTTAATAATGGTAATTAGTTTGCTTTGAATGCTTAGTTTGTTTCGTCGATCTTAGTCATCGAACATGAACACTGGCTTGCCTTCTCGATCGAATGAATTCTCGCACTTGCGGAAAGCGCAAACCAGATAAAGACCTGAATAAAAAATATATTCTCTTTAGTTTGTACAGTTGTTATGCGAAAATGCATTAAATCAACACTTACTTGCTGCTTCCCATTCTGACTTGGACAATGTACCTAAAGAACGGCTCGAGTTGCCCTTAACAAATTGCTTGATATGAGAGTACTCTTCGTTTTGGCTCAACCGGTTTGGGAAAACAGTCTCTAGGCCATTCATACGATACAATAATGATCGGCCTGAAAAAATTTGCATAAATCGGTATTTTTTCCTTTGCTATTTTTGCTATTTTTTCCTATTCAAATGTTTATGGAGAGAGTCATCAAAGACATACCTTTTTCAATATTTTCTTTATAATAATCGCTAAACGTTGTCTTACGTTCTAATTTTAAACCGTGCTTGCGGCATAACTTTATTAATGTTGGAAAATGAACGAGAAATTCTGGACAATCAACGACTCCTTCCAAATGAAACTGGTATTTTGCTCCAAATAGCGGCGGAGGATCGGTGTGCGATACGAATTCAATTTTGTAAACCTCATTTCCAAAGCTACGTCCGTTATTCGATAACTTCAATCGCTTCATGATTTCGTAGGCATCTGGTATTGTAGCAATGAAAAAACCGCCGGGTTTTAGGCATTCAGCCGCATTACGGACCATACAATCGGCTTGAGTAAGTGATTCAAATGAATAATGAAAGGCAAATTGACACGAAACCAAATTTAATTTCATCGAAGCATCTTTAAATCTTCCACGTAATCGTACTAATGTCGAATCACATACGAAAAACTCTGCTGTGAATTTATGGGCAAATTTTGATGTTTCTGCTCGTTGTATTATGTCTTCATACCTTCTTTTGCATTGCTCCACAGATACCTCTGCTATGTCGGTACAAATGAGATGTGTAATCAAGGCCTTTTCCCATTTGAGAAGATCGCCGCCTTTGCCACAGCACATATCCAGGACTCGCATTGGATCTCCAACCCTTTGCTGACTCTTAATGCAATGTAAGTACTCTGCTATCAATTGGGATTTAATCCAGTTATTAAAATTACGCATATAAAATATTCTTGATTTTAGCCGTTCGGTGCGGCCAGCCTCCTTTAATTCATTATAATGCGAAGCTACTACATCTTGCATATTACTATTTTCGGGCACGTTATCAAGAGTTTCTTCTTTCCACTCGTCATCATCATCAACAGTTGTTTCTTTAGCGTCTCGGCTGGTTGTTGCCGGCGACATTTGTTGTTGTGAAGCTTCATGCGCATCGTCGCTGTCATCTTCTAATCTACTACTTTGAAATTGCTCAATATGTTTACTCATTTTGTAATTGGTAAAGTGTAAAACATCAATAATATCAAATTCAATGAATCAATTATTAAGATTTTCAATTAACTTCTGACTGAATGTTGAAAAACGCAAAGTGTTTCTTTATTCGTTGTAAAATATGATTACCTCATATGGGAATGACATATTTTCAATAGCAAGATTAACAAAATTGGGCATTTTGTTAAAGGCTATACAAAAAATCAAAATACAAAATCTTAATTAATTTAATACTTTGGACCAATAAAATGATAACTTAAGCGATTCAAAAACAAACTTTGAGTTTTTTTACATTGCAAGGAAAGGGAATGGCTTGCTTTTTTATGTCTCGCGTGTACGGGGGAAACGAAAAAAAGTAAGCGATTTTATTGCATTCACTGTCTCTCAAACACACGCCTTTTTTTTTTTTAAACAAAATATTGAAGAAGGCATTTTCGAGCCCGCAAAAATGTAAAATATTGAATATACAATTGATTTATCTATTTTCTTGTACGCCGAAAAGTGCATTTTAGGAAAGCAGAGATAATTATGTTTATGCGCTTTTTGCCGTAAAAATACGAAATGTTGCAAGGGTGTGCTTTAATTATAATACTTTAAAGTGGCGCTTTTCGTTTTTATTTTATTTCATATATTTTAGTTGCGGCAAATGTATTTAAAGGAAAGGTTGAATTTGCAATGGAATCAAAAGATTTTCCATGTTCACTCTATATCCAAAAAAGAAAAAAGAAATAACATTGAAAATTTGTCAAAATCAAGTACGTGCATTAATTATTAAATCATTAACAATTAATTATAATAAAATGTTCTATTTTTCGCTGTAACAGCAGACGATAAAAGTAACAAACCAATGCGCCGTTTTCTTTCTGGATCCGGTATAATACTGTTTTCCTTGGAATGTAGGTGTTGCAGCAGAATTCATGTTGCCAAATTGGGGAGCGACAAGTGTAAGTTTAGGTTCATTTTTCGTAATTCACGCGACATAATAACAATTTTTTAGAATGGCATCAAAAACCCAATGCCTCTAATGCCATATCAAGGGATTATACATGATGATTTATAGGTTATTTTATCAAGACAATAGCCGTGTAATAGAAGCAGAATCACTTTAGTTTAAATGCGACAATTTCTGATAGAGATGCTCAGTGCGCATGTATGCTTGCCGTATTGGCTGTACACTTGCAATCGAAAGTGAAAAATCTGATGAGCCATAAAGGGATGGTCATATCTGGAGGAGTTGGCTTTAGCTAAGACTTATTGACGAGCCACAAAGCGATGGCCATGTCGGAAGGAGTTGATTTTTTAGCCCAGGCTAATTGACGAGCCATGAAGCGATGGTCATATCTGCAGGATATAGTTTTAGTTCACTTGAAGAATGATTGTGCAACATTTAGATTACGGACGCTTTGAAATAACATTTGACTGATTGGTCATATTGAATTACGTTTTAAGAGTTTCTTAAAATTAAGTTCAGTTGGGCTACATTGCTTCAGTTGTTGTCGCTCAAACCGATAAACGACTACAAAATAAGGAATAAATATTAAATAAGGTAAGCGCAAAATATGATTTAATGATAACAAATAACTAAATAACAATGTTTATTTAATATAATAAACTCAGATCCATCCATAATCAACGGTATCAGTAACTACATCATGCATTCGTTTATTGTAGAGAATGGCATTTTCACCATGAATTCCTGAATCTTTAATATCAATTGTTTGGCCAGCTGCTACTTTCTCACTTAATATCTCTAAATCAGGTACATCTTCGCTTCTTGTCGTCAGTATAGGTAAAACAAATGTGGCGAATAGCAAGCCTATGGCACCTTTTCCTCTTAATTCTTTATCCAAACTAATACGTGAATATAGCTTTTCAGCATCTGCGCCCAATCTTTGGAAAAATTTATTTAATATATTATTATGAATGGAATTTTTTTTTTTTTTTTTTTTTTTAATGTAAGCTCTTAATTTTACCTTTTAATATGATCGGTAGCCGATTTATGATAGATGTCTATCATACTTTGGAAATATTTTTGACGAAATTCTCCTGTAGTGCAGCACATTAAAAAGTACATCAAATCAATTACTGGTGAAGCATAACGCATTATTTGCCAATCTATCAAGCAAGCATCTTTAATTCGATCGTTCTGCGGAGAATATCGGAGATAATGGATGAACTTCATATTCACATTGATTATTCATATTATAATTAAATGTAATTTGAGATGTTATCCTTCTTTGTTTCATCTAAGAATTTGAAAACAAAGCGTTCGAGGTACGAGAGAAGCATATGTATGCACTACTCTACGGTAATGTCAGCTTCCGAGTTCAATTTAGCTCGGCTCTGCTGTTTACTTTACTTTTGTTCGATTGCCTTTGCACTCGTTCGCTTTGAATTGGAACCATGCGTAAAGTATTTTCCTGAGATTAGGGTTGGTGAAAATACATAGAGTTTTTTATGACAATCATGGGCATTTCAATGATTTGAGTCATTTAGCGGGAAGCCTGACGTGGCTAAATGTTTTCCTCGCCTTTTCTCGATTGAAAATGTCGTGCAGTCATGCAAAGATCAAAATCAATGAAAATATCGCCATTTCAAACCGAGTATATATTATAATCTAGAATGTTATTCGTTTAAGGCGTATCGATTGATGGCTTATTCTGAAAGAGTTCGATGGCTTTTAAATGGGGCAGAAGTTTCAGAAGAAAATATTTATTAGAAGATCCTTGTTGCATATATTGCATATATTAGCAAAATCGTTATTGAAAAATGATTGAATATTTATCTGAGATAAGGCGAGGATACAAGATTTACGTTCGCTTAAAACGAAACTTGGATAACAAGGACATAAAATTAAACATGCAGACACAAAGATATGGCTGCGGCTGACTGTGGCAAATAATGCCTAAGCATAAGTCTGTTGTCTGTTGTCTGTTGTAAACAAAATGGATAACATGGAAACATAATTTTTTAAGCGCACAAAATGTTTAATTAATTTACCTCATATTTAAACATAATATTATTAATCCAGCAATCGCCGTGACATATCACAGAATATGGCTCGCTGCTTTTCGAATCGAGAATGCTCAACATTAATTCAAATATTGTAGCACTTTTTAAATACTCATTCAGTTTTGACCAATAGTCATGTTCGCGCTGCTTATCGATACATTCCAAAACGTTAACTTTTAAGCTCTCAAAGTAATTATTTAAAGGTTCGTAATCTTTTTGTTGAACAAAAATGTCCTGCATCTTTTGCAATTCACTTAATAGCTCGGGATTTTCATCTTTAATTACTAGTGAAGTTGCGTGAAGCTTACCATATATACGCATTAGAATGGTTACATGATCGTACGTTAAAGGCGCGAAGCGATCAAATAAATAAAAACCTTGCGGTTGCAGATCGTCCATACAAATAACCTCATTCATGTAATCGGTCGAAGAAAATTTATATTTTGGATATTCGTGAAAGGATTCTTGTATCGAAAGCCCTTTAGCTTGTTGAAAATCGGAAATCAAAGGAAAGAACTGCATAAAGGGTTTTTTTTTTTTTTTTTTTGCTTTTTTGGTTAAGTATAAGTAATTTCTAAAAACTTGTGGATAAACTGACCTTTTCGAATGCTAATGCTTCCCTCAGAAAAACAGGTCGAGCGAAAAATTTTTCGCGTCTAAGGAGATTTTGTGGCGGCACTTTCAATATTAGCTGATGTCGGTTTTCTTCATTATCTAGCATTTTGATTGTTACGCGATAAACCACACCCAAGTAGTTGTCACCTTTTTTGGTAGCTCCTTTAATATCATACTTGTATTTTCCTTGACCGTATTCCTTGTTTAGGAAATTGTTTAAAATCTTGTAAACTAAATCCGATATTTCGTTATTCTCTTCTACACTGTCCATGGTTAACTAACTATCGAATCTGGGAATTATTGAATACTATTCAATGCTATACAATAACTTTGCGGTTTAATTGACATTCAATACTTAACCACAAATTTATTTTATTTAGAGTATCGCATAATATTAAAGCAAACGACTATCAAGGCGACGCAAATCTCTGGCGAGAAACAAATTCAAGGTCAAATCACCGCACCCTCATCAATACGAGCGTATCGCATATATTAATCGAGTAGAAATTTAAAATTAATTAAATTAATTTTAAAATTAATATCAAATGTTTGGCGATCGTGTTTGTTCGCTCGAAATTCGAGAGGAATTTCGAAATTTCCCTTACCCCTCTTGTATTTAACAATATCAAATATCGAAATCTTTAGATAATCACGCCGACTATTACAGTTATAAGGAAGCTATATATATGCTGCAGTGAACTTCTTTGACGATCCAATCTCAACTTCCAACAAGTATTAAGTATTTTTCGATTATTATGATAAATGCCGTAATACCGTGACCAATATTCAAATTATGATCTGCGCGAATATATCGAATATCAGAAATAATTTTTTTCTCAATTGATTGCACTAGGACAGACATCGGTGTCGAAATTTCATATCGTAAACGTCCTTAATGTTTTAGTTGCTCTTGGTCTTCTTTTTTTTACGGCACAAAAAGTATTTGTCTGATTTTTGCAATGTGTGTGAGGCGATCATATCTGACTAGGGAATCGGTCATGAAACGCATTATTACATATCACAGTACATCACTTGGGCAGTCAGTTATTTGCTGTAGAGTCGTATAATTTTTAGATCGAATTTTTCACTGATTATACTACGCTTCACACACAACAATTTCTATATGGGTTTTGTGTTTTCTCTATAGCAATTTCCAACTTCTAGTTATGGTGAACTACTTAACGGCTAATTGCATGCAGGCCATTTTCATGTTCAGCAAACAATGCGATTCCAAGTTATATTCGTTATAAGAGTCTTTCCTTTTTTTTTTTTGGTTTTTTTATTTTTCTGACATCGAGGTCTACCAGGCAATAGAGGAGCAGCAGTAAAGAGGTTCAACGCAATGCACTTTCAAATTATTATTCAAATTTTATAAAAATTCCTTACAGTTTTATGAAATTTACAAAAATCTAGCGATTTTCATTTAATGTAATCACGCAAACGAGCAAACGACGAATTAAATGAATATCTTGCGAAGCGACTTGTATCTGCGTAAATAGTTTACAATTTTTCAATGTCAATACGATGCAAAACTGCATTGAGTATATATATATATATATATATATATATACAATATACAATATAACGATGTACATGAGAATGTTAGTAAAGAAATGAATCAACTGAGTAGCTTTTCAATTAGTTTGGGACATGTTTTGAACGTTGCGAATAAAAGCCGAATCACGGTCCACATAAAAGATAATTAATTGCTTTCATCATTAATCAAAAGCTTTATTGGTTTAAAAACGGCTTTTTAAATTTTCATTCAAGGGTAGGCGCGGTACTGTTGCATTCAATACGCAGTAATTATTCGTATGACAAATTGACAGGTATTTCGCGCAAACTTGACTAATCACTTGCAACTAAATGATAAATAATTCAACCCTTAAACGGTTATTTACTTTGTTTGCGTTTATTGCATTTCAGTTGCGCTTGCTTGTGCATTCGCTGGGCAAATCTTCTTCGATACGCTACACAACTTTTGACACAAAGGTATACTTTGGTTTGTGCGGATGCACGGATGTAGGCAATACCCAAAAGGATTTGTGATATACTCTATATACTTTTTTTTTTCTAAAATTATTCCGATCGGTTCCGAATCACTCCCGGTTATCGATATAAAAATATCCATTCACTTGTACGTTTTCCGTACTATTGTGTTCAACTAAGACGTCGAAGAATATTTGACCCAACGTGATGAACGCACTTGAAATCACTTCGTCGTTAGACATTGACATTAACTGCATTAAGCGAAGTGATGTAGGGCATTTAATGATGAGCCGTGGGCCAAAATATATTTTGTTTTTATTAGCTAATCAGGCGAAGAAAACATTCGCCTATGCATGTATATGGACAGGTTGTGCTATTATAAATGGAAAGCATACGCATGTATGCACATTGAAGGCAACTGAAGCATCAATTTATATTTGATTCGAAATGTGGTAAGCGTGGGATTTCATATGCAATCATTAAGATGGAATGAAATTTTTTCTTTTTTATACCTTTAATTATATGGAACTATATTTTTGAAATGAAGACATGCTAAACTTTTCACAATCGGCGGATCTAGGTAGCTACTAGTTTTGCTATTTTGTTTCGAGCATTGTCTTGACAAACCCAAAACACCGAATGGATTTATTTGTGTTCGTTCAGCGACTGCTCTTCAAACTCTTCAAGTTGCAAGAATTTCGATACCGATTCAATATTTAGCACATTCTGTTGTGTTCCAAAAATTTGAGGAGATCTTTTTTACTTCAAAAGTGCGCGAGCTTTGAATGCTAATGTAGACTTTGTTTTCTTAGATCGGTAACACTTTGATTATTATTTGGTAGCGGGTTTTGACCACACAAAATTGATTGAACAGAAAAGTTTGTAAAAAAAAGGAAATCGCTTGTGAAGACTAAGCTTGAAAAGACTAAGGGCACTAAGACGGAATAACGAAGAATGGTAGAGAAATAGTTGAGAACGAACAACGTCCAAGAAGACCGGCTCGATGTCGCCGATAGTGATTAAAATATCAACAATATCGAAGATCTTGTAAATGCAGTTAGCATACCAATCGAGATAATTCAATCAACTGTAATCTTAGAACTTAGCGAAAATATCAATTTGCCTCATATCTAATTTCGAGCTTTGAAAAATATCTTTATAAAGCACGTAATGTTGTGTACATGTTCGATTTGTTTTTTTTTTTTTTCTTTTGCCTTATTTGCAAATGTCTCTAATGATTTTTGAGATCAATTTTTTCGACTTATTCTAATTTTCGCGATGACGATGGCCTTGCGGCATATGCCCATTTGATGTCCTTCTTTGTACCTTGCCTTGTAATCGAGAAACGAATATAGGAAGTTAGAATTTCTCACAGACACCTCTTAACTGTTGTAAGGAAAAACTATTTAAAAAGTAGACAACAAACTGAACTGAAGAACGGATATTTGCAAAGAAAGAAAAGGCAAATCTGGTTTGGGAATGAAGTCTTAAGTCGTTGCGTATGGAACAAATTCAATTCATTTTTGAAATCACACGAAAATATCAAGATTAGAAGCTAGCTAACTTAGATTTAGACATAGGCAAGCCGAGTATGTTAAGGAGAGTTGATTTAATAGAACTTGAAGAATTCCAGTGATGGCAAAGTTAAACAGAGTTCTGAATAATGGAAGAAAGGGAAGTCAGTGGATTGGCTAATTAGTTCAAAAGCTATACTAAAGTCGTTTTATATGATATCCGAGACCGAGACCGAGACCGAACCGCTAGAGAAATCCCTCAATATGTGGCAAGTAATTCTTCAGCCGTTCGTAATAGTCCGGCTTGCTTTTAGAAAGCTACGCTGAAATAGAAAAATAAGAAGATTTAATGGAGAAAATTAAGTAACTACTGAGTAACAATTCGTTGAAATAAATTAGGTAAGACTCTCAGCTTGGGAATGCCTCTGTAATTATAATTTTTCCATATTTTTTAATCAATTTCCGAAAAACGTTAATTCAAGCCTTCAAAAAGGCTTGAATTATCTCTTTAGTATGTATGTAGTGTAACAGATTACTACAATTATGGTAACAAGTTTAAGAATTACGTTTTCCTAGCTATGTGTAACTAGGTAAATAGGTTTTGATGGCATTGAACAAGCATCTGTCTCTTATAGCTGGTTTATTAAGTGAAGCAACGATAGCATTGCAATAATACGATATGAAGCTTTTTAATTTGCGCAGCCTCTTCGACAATTTACCAGATTTCTTTAAAAATTCCAATCGCCTAGTTTGTAAAATCACATTACATATTTTAAAGTATTGAAGTGTGTTGCATTCCGTGGAAGTATTGAAACGCGTTCCGTGGAACTTAAAATACAGGTAAAGTATTTGACAGTCTGGCTAAATCCACATATCTTCATTTTTGCAACCAGAGAGAGAGAGAGAGAGAGAGAGAGAGAGAGAGAGTGCCAACAAACCACACCGCACAGACGGACAGACATATATAGCTAAATCAACTCAAAATTTTATGGTGATCAAGATAATATATATACTTAATAGGGTCTTTGAATCTTCCATGTGAGTGTTGGACACATCCATCTTTACAGTGGTGAGTATAAAAATGAAATTATAAAAGAATAATACTTTTTAGTTCTAAATATTGCTTGCGATGAGATTTTCCCGAAACTGCATTGCTTATGATGTACAAGTATAATCCAAAAGCAGTGTCGCATGGGCCTTGCAGACGTTCGGCAATATTTTGCCTTTCGTAGTAAACAATACGTCGGCCTTATGCCAATAAGAATGTGAGCAGAAAACAAAATTTTATTCCAATTGGTAGAATATAGGCGCCGCGAGACGGTGCCGATACAACACGGTACAAAATTGTGCGACAATTATAACGCGATTGAATATATACATGCGACCACGTTAGATAACTATTGTAATGATGGAGAAAAAATAGATCCAAGTGTAATTTTTGATAAAATTCATTTTGTGATCGCAATTTGTATTATTTTTTGAATGTACAGGCGTCCCCCTATAACAAGATCAATTCCTACCGTGCTATATCGAAACCGTGTTATACAAAACATGACATACCGTGTCGTGTAGCGGCCTTGTTTTGTGTTATATTGAAATTGTGTTACACAAAAGCTTGAAATAATATAAATAAAAGCAATGTGTACCGTGTTATATCGAAACCATGTCTTAAAAATGTGTAAAATTTTATGATAAGTGAAATTTTTTTTCAAATACTACATAAATGAAAAAGTAAGTTAATTCCACGTTTTTACTAAAAAAAAAAAAAAAAAAAAAAAATACAATTCAACATTATGACGAAATCCAAAAGTCCATTAAAGCAACATTGCTTATCTATGTTGTCCTTAAACTAGCGCTTAACCTTAAAATGTCGCGATGAGTCAAAAATGAATTGTTGTTAACTATTATCGGTTGCCAAGCTTATGCATGTTTGCGATGGCTTAGGGGTTCATTCGCAATTTGGTCCTGTACCGGTTCTGGGTGTGGCTCTATACTAGTTGTGTGCATGCTTTTTTTCTTTTTTTTTCCTTCTTATTTGTTTTATTGTACTTATACTATGTATTAATATTAATATTAATTTAAGATTTACTTTAAGAGTCAATTGAACTCAACTGTCAAAATTTTTAGTTGAGTGTCTTCTATAAGTGGAATAAATAAATAAATAAAAACAAATAGAAACAGTTTATTAAGACCACGAAATTGATTTTCATCATCATTCTCATCAAAAATTAGTTCGCGACGGCATTTCCCTTCCAGTGTAAAGCTGTCTTTTCGGTGTTGAAAATTTGATCTGCTGAATATTCTCTCTCTTCAATAATGGTATTTGGTATTTCAAATATATAAATTTTTTGGTAGCCTCTACATGTGATGAAGCTTGTTCTCTTCTTCTTTCTCTTATTGAGCGCTATTGAAAGAAAAAATTCAAATTTCTAATGCACATTCCATTTTCTGAGATCGTGTTATATTAAAACCCTGTTTTACAAGAACCGCGTTATACGAGGGACGCCTGTATTCGTAATATTTTGCATCTCATGTATGCACAGCTGGGATGGCATTTTCATCACAAAATTGTACTCATTAAGACTTACTTTCTGGCTTCGCTACAACACGGTATGCATTGCCTTGATTTATATTATCCCAAGCTACCGGGTAATACGGCTTCGATATAGTACGATACGAATTAACGATGTTAACCGAGATACATCTGCATAGTAAAAAGCATAAAGGAAATCACTTCTAAAGAGATATGCAGTAAAAGCTTCTTGTTCGCGCTTCCTTCATTCGCGGATTAAAAAAATGCGACTCAATTCCTATATTCGCGGCTATAAATATCCGCGATCGGTGTTTTTGAGAATGTAAACTAACAGAATGAAAGCAACCTTATTACATGAATGAATAAAATTTATTTTTATACATATATAAAATTTTTTTATTTTGTCACCAAGGAACACATCCCCTGTAATTTCATATAAATTGCCATTCCGTATTCACACTTTCTGCATTCACGGTAC